CCGGTTCGATTCCCACATGGGCCAGTGACATTGTGCCTGAGCTGAGCTGTCGCTAAGCTGCCAACAGGTGGCAAGATGGCTCAGCTGGTGTAACAAAATTGCCTGTTCAATGGTGGGCTACGCCCACTCGCAACTAAAGATTGAACTTGGCACCTTGAGCTGAGCTGCCGCCTGGATGACTCAGTGGATAGAGCGTGTGCTCTTAACAACGAGGCTGCTGGTTTGACGCCCACATGGGACGGTGGCTACACCGACTTTCAACTAAAGATTGAACACAGTGCCTTGAGCTTAGAGGCCACAAGCTGCCGATGGGCAGCCAGATGGCGACTGGTACCCTCCACAACAAAGACTGAAGAACAACAGCTTGGCTGGTCCCCTTCCCCAATTCCCCAATAAAATCTTTATATAAAAAAAAATTCACCTTCTGGATAGTGGAGTGAATTAAGTGGATTAACATATATGTGTTAGCTAACAAAGGCCAGCATTGAGGGACTCAATAAGTAGCTACTAAATCGAAGAGCAGTTTACACATAGAAATAGGTGATTACACTATGAACAAAAACCACTGTGAGGAATGGTTTGCTTCCTTCTGGGAAAGCAGAAATGAGGAAGAAGAACAAGGTTGTAACTAAATTTGAAGTTTTCCGGTAAACTGTGAAACTCAAATTTCATCTCCAAGAGAGCAGATATTTCTAAGACTATTTTAGGGATCCTAACTGATCCTGTTCCTTGAGCCCTAAAGTAAGTCTTACATGTACTTACTTTTTGTTTTCTTAGTATAATTCTAAGCTTCTTGACACTAGATTTTTTTTGTACCTTTCTTTGTTTCAATGTAATACCTTCCTTAGCTTGTCCCTACACATATTCAGATATCACTGAATATGTAACACATAGATTTCTGAATTAACATTACCATTCTTCCAATAGCTCAAATGATTGGTGGTATTGTCAGTCACTGATCAATAAATTAGCTTATACTTTCCTCTAGACACTCAAAACTCAATTTTTTAGTAATTTCATCACTGTTCCTATTGACAATAGTTAAAGCCCCAAAATTGGAGCAAAAAGACCAGGTTTGATTTTGGAGTTAATCAGTTATCAAAGGTGAACCGCTCTGAGCCTTGGTTTCCTCAACTGCCCACCTCACGGGGTTGCTCAGAAGGACAAATGAAAAAAATGTAACAGGATCTTTAAACTACAGCATAAAAGGTCTTTATGATATCCTCTCCATTTCCTTGAGAAGCTTTCACTCTGCCCTGTGTCCCTTCTGGGCTTCCTGGTCATGACTCCTTTCTCCTTCTGCCAATGGCACTACCAACATCACCATTTCCCTTTACTTGCCATTACATTTTGTTTTCTTTAAATAGATATTCCCTCTTCTGTTCATTTCATAAAAGGTATCACCTTGAGTAGACTGTCAAATTCGTCTGAGAGTTCCTGAGGGATGTACGGAAGGTTTCCCTCACGGATATGATGCCATCTGGCCCCATTGCTGGGCAATGACTCTGCACCGGCCGCCATTGCAATTGTTAATCCCAAGGCGAATATGTCTGCTTTGGGGAGATGCCGGTAATCCTTCAGAACAGAAGACAGGAAGGCCNCTTAATGATCTTGTCTTTATTTAAAATTATGGTATTTTATTCAACATGGATTTTTAAATTATAATATTTAAAAAGATTGCATTAAAGTATCATTAATCTTGATGGCTTAGTTTTCTGGCACTTCTTAAATTTTGCCTCATTCACCCTAATCCTGGTCCTGGTAACAAAGAGGGGTACGGAGCCCCACAGATTGCAGGATACAGGCCAGAGGGACCTCCCCTGCCTTCTCTGTTTCCTGGTCCTGGCACTGTCCAGCTTCTAGAAAAGGAAGGTGCCCTCCAGATCATTCTAACATGCAAATTTCCCAGGACCCTACTTAAAACCATTCAGTGGCCCATTCTTGCCCTTAAAGAGAAAAATCTGAACTGTTTAACATGGTTTCCAAGACACACCTATCACACTCCTAAAAATCTGACTTACTAGTTGGTGTTGCTGACATAAGAAACGTCCAAACCTGTAGAGAATTCTTATGAGTTTACTGAGCCAAATTGACGACATATACCAGGGAGCAAGATCTCAAATGCTCTGGAGAGTGGCAGTTTTGCAGCTTATTTATATATTAGAATCAAAGGAGGCGAGGTACCGAAGGTGCGTGAAATCCATTGGTGGTAGATGAAGGCTGTGGGAAGAAGCAGAGCAGGGGTGGAATCTCTAGGGTTGGATAAAAGGCCAAATGAAGAAACATACTTCTTTTACATTGGTGGGTGCAGGATAGTTAATAACATTTACAGCACTTAGAGATGGTATGGGGACAACAAGATAACAATGAAGGGTTCTGTGGTCTTGTGCTCTGGTGCTGGAGGTTGTGCCTTTGAGGAAAAGGAAATTACTGACATTTCAAATGTATGTGATCCCAGATGCATGAGAACAGTGGACAGGGCTAACTTAACAGAAAGACTGAACTTTGCTAAGGAAGCCGTAGATCTGGGGTGTGGCTACCAGTTATGACCTGCCCAGTTAGGAATTTGTGGTCAGACCATCCTATGTGGTTACTTTTGGTCACTGAGCATGTCAGGCCTGCCATGTGGCCCCCCTGAGCTTGTCAGGTTTATTGCATAGCCCCTTTTTCATTCACAGAATATTTCTAGATGCTTATCTCCGTGTTACTTCCACCTTCGCCATGTTTAGTTCCTGAAATGCCATTGTTAACCAGTAAAGATTTAAGGTTGTAAAACAAATGAAAAGTTTATTGGGGTGTACATGGGCCCCACTTCCTTAATAGCCTCCTGACTCTATTTTAAGTGACTCCCTTAGCAACGTTTATTCCATTTTATTTCTTTCCATTGTCACAGTGTTATAATGGAGCACTGCCTTTGGACCTTGCACAGGTATCAATCATCCCACACTCTATCCAGTATGTTATTACTGCCAGTGCCCTTCGATGATTTGCTATTTAAAAATCCTGCTTTCACGTGAGCTGTTGAGTCTAGTGAAAAACTGAATTCATCCTTTCCTTCAAAGACAATTTCCTCCATCTAAGATCTTTGTTTGTTTTAATGGTACCAGGTTCTCCCAGACTTGAACTTTGGAATCGTCTTTAAAACTTCTCCCTGATCACCTATCTCTATTCATCCATAGCCAATCATTTGGCCTTAAAATTCTTTATTATGCCACACTAATCTCTCCCTCTTTCTTTGTATTCACAAATAATACTTTGGGGTGAGGAGTACAGAAAAGGTTTGGGGTTTTTTTGAAAAAAGCAAACAGCACTGTGTAAACTGAAAGTAGACACACCTTGCAAATTCAAAATAGACCCAGTTTCTCTCACACTCAACAGTGTCTACACAGCTACCTACTCTTTTGGTGACTTCCTGCTACCATGGAGCCCAGCAGAGAGGGCGAGAAACCAATAGTGTGACACCAGGTGTATTCAGGTGCTTTGAGGAACATAGTAGAGAAGGGGTTATAGATGCTAACAGTAGTTGTCAATGCCTGAGAAGACAAGTATAACCAAAGAAGTCTGGTCTATACATTGCATACTCTTAATATACCTGTTCATAAATCACAAATTGTACTGCAAGGGATATGGCTAAAGTTGGAGAGGCAAGAGATAAATTAATTCCATTTTAAAACTTTGAATAAAGATTAGTTTTTAAAAATGGCAATGGGCACTCCATGGAGCACTATACCCCCACTTAACTGCATGGAAAGAATTGCTAGTACAAGACAGAAGAAAAAATGGCATGGTGGTTTATTCAATTAAAAAAGAAAAAAAATCTTAAAAGTTAAGGGAAAGAAGAAAATAAGGCAGCAAAAAAGCCTGCAAACCATTAACAGGCTACTCTCATTAGTATGACACAAGTAGAAGTTATCAAATGCCTTTATGACCAACATTATTTTATATCATAGCCTGGCCAATATTTGCTCTTGGGCCTGTGACACTCGGCCTTGAAGCCAAGACTTGTTAGTGCTAGCCTACCTAATTCTCTCACCTATCTATCATGAAATGGCTTCCAACATAAATTTCTCATTCTTAGTTATATAGTACAAAGAAGAGTGTTTTACTCATATTTGGCTTTGGACAA